TTTTTTTATCTCTTTCACTTCTTAAAACTTTGACTTTAATAATACCTTTAAAAACTTTTCTATCGTTTCCTTTAGCGCACCACGTACCCGGTAACAACTCATAACTAATTGTCCTACCAATTTTCTTCTTATGAAAACATTTTCATATTTTTATGTTGGTTGGGAAGAAAAATAATTTGTAGTTTTTGAGTATTTTGAAAGCTGTTTTTAATTTTATACCAAAATTATTTTAAAAATCAATTTCTGAAGTTTCTAAACAGTTGCACCCTCAACTTAGGAATCTTCTTCTCATTCTCAATTATCATTCTTGGATGTTCAGTCATGATGACTATTCTGGTGGTTGATATACATTTTCGAATGCCAGACGTTTACGAAATGAGTCCGTGGGTTGGTTGACTCCTATAGATTGATTTTCTTGTTGCTTATGCCTTTATGATACTTTTTTTTGCAGACAGGGAAGGAAGAGACCCTTTTTTAATAATGTGTTTTTTAGGTCCGTAAAACATTTCTTGAATGGTTACCCTGGGCGTTGCTTATGAAGCGACCTGGTCACCAATTTCGAATGCCAAAAGAGGGGTAATTGTTGTTCAGCAAATGCATACTTTCTTTTAAATTGCTAATTTTATTACTTTTCCACTTAATTCTTTTGTATAGCTACTTTTTTTAGCAACTCCGCCTTCATTAAATAAAAACCAAATGCACCTTCTATTTTTAGCTGCAATTCGTATGAACAGAGTTATTTGCTTCCAGACGAAAAGCGCGCGTCTTTAGACGCTATCATAAACGGCGACACATTACGCAGATGTCAGTCCCAGCAGGGTCTGTGTATAATCTTATTAATCTGCTTTCTAAAAACTGAGAACCTGGTATTAACAACAAGATTAAAAATTTTTTCCATATTACATTGACAAATGAGTCAATAAGAAACTGCTGAGAGTTTTTCAGAACAAATTTTTGAACAATTAATGCTGAGGAAAAATAAAAGTTTTACAACGAGGCGGGACGTTGAAGGATCGTTAATCAGAATCGAACTTCTAATGCTTGAATTTTCGTCTTTCTTCAAGGATTTACAGTACGTTTTGCAATACCATTTTTCCTATTTGCCTAAATTACAGTTGTTTTCAATAGTTTTTTTAAGCGTTGTTTTTTTTTTTTGGATTACTGAACTGAAAAGCCTGTTTATTGCATTAGTAAGCTTTTTCAATTATTTTTTTGTGTTTAACTAAGAATGAAACCGGTAAATCTTCAATAGTTAGATTTTTTGATAAATCGTGAGGAGGATTTTTCAAGGTTTAATGGAATGTATTCAGCCGTCGACAGAGACAGGCTTTATGAAATACAGCGAACAAAATAGTTGGGCCCATCAACAGTCTATTCCACTCTTTGTCCTAAAGTGTTTTTAAAAAATTTTTCCAGTTCACAATTTCTCCTCTGTAGTTGACAGTTGGCTTTTACGGGATTAAAGCTGTTACAATTGCAGGACATATTTGAAAGATGACGAAAAGGAAAAATTGGAACAAGCAGATTGGCGATATATTGCTAAAGTTATCGACCGTTTTTGTCTGTTTTTGTTCACATTCTTAATTCTGCTTGCTTTTCTATTTCTGGCGATCAACATGCAAGGGTCAATGACTTCTACTATTCAGCCATCATTGGTACCTTGTGTACCTGCAAGTTCTGCTCAAGCAGCCAAATAAAAATTAACTATTGTTTCTCAACGATCATCTAAACCAGAAAAAAATATTTTTTGCCAATTTCTAGAGTTTTACTGTTTTTTCCGCTATAATTGAACTTTTTATGAAGCATAAGAAGTTAAAAAAGTGGTTGGAAAACTTAGGTTTTGAAACAGTGAGCAAAATATCTGTGGACAGTCGGAACGTTCAGTAAAAGCAAGCATGAATAGCCTAAATTTTACGCTCTTTGTTTGTCTTTCTCAATTTAGTAATTGTTAATCGTTCAAAATTTGGTTTTTTTGTAGAATGATTTAGACTTTTGGTTTGGATATCGAAAAAGAAGCTGAAATTTTTAAAGAATTTTAGCAGACACTATTGACTTTTTTCCTTTCCAGCTTTTTTTTCGTTACCGTCATTTGGTTTCTGTAATAGAATATGTGCTGTGACCATTCATCAATAAACGACATTTTCCAATACTGTGTTTGATTTCTACCTCTCAAAAAAAGCTTTAAAAAAGAACCTGAAGATTAAAGATAGCAAGATGCTCAATTTTTGAAATGCTGCGTCAATAAGTAATCAAGTTTAGGCCTCTCGTGCAGTCAGTGAGCATTTCGACCTTAAACCACCATAGAGAAGAGCAAGAGAAGCGTGAGGTAAAAAAACATTAAGTTTTTTATTTCAAATTTCTATTTTTTAATTTTTTTGGAAGCAACCTATCAAGGTCTTCCTTTTAATAAATTTTAAAAAGTCTCTAAAACAAAGATAGTTGTGCTCTTTAGTTTATTAGAGGTTTTATTATTGTTTTTTTGCTAACAATTGCAGATTTTCAAATAAAGGTATTTCAAACCAAAACATAGTATTTTTTCTGTGTGATTCTCATTGAATTTTGCAACAGTTGTATTTTTTAAGGTTCGTCGTGCTTTATATTTAGGGTCTAAACACTGCTAGTTGGTTGATTCAGGGAAAACATTGGTATACAAAGTTTGCGAGTATTGTACTATGACTTCAAAGACAGTTGTCGATGTTCCTCATCAAACTGAGAGACATCAGTAACGCAATACAG